ATTTCTCAACTTAAATGAATGAGCATTTACGGGATACTTTCAGAAAGAGACCACCTCCAATTCCATTCACACTAGTAGAAGGTGTGGAACTGGTTTTATTTTGAATTTGCTCACGCAATGAACTAGTTGCTTTAGCGGCTATGTTGGCAATACTCCCAGCCAGACTACCTAATGCAAAAAGACTAGCAAAAATTGGTATCAAAATAGGAATGGCTCCAACCTTGGGAATAGGTATAACTCGTGGAAGCTGAATCTGCAGTTTTCCACCAATGGATCCGATATGCTTCCGAACAGCAGGTAATGCAGCGGAAGTAGCACTTACTAATACTCTCTTGTCTGGTTCGCGGTTTGAGAATCTTTTCATATGTTTGCAGATACAATGTGAGAATCTATCCACAGTCAGGCAAGTTATTATTGGGCAAACTCCAAGTAAACTTGGATGATGGTGGACATTGTCTGCTGTTGGGTGCTGAGAAGAAGGAGAGAATAAAATTTCAAATGTATCCAGAATTACTCGATTTAATATTTTTGACACAAATGCCAGATAAAAAGACCTTAGACTACCGAAACTTGAACACCTTCCAAGATATAATGATTGAAACCGACGTGCTTCGTAAATCATATTGTTATACGCATAGCTCCAATAACTAGGGCGCTGAATATTTCGCTAAATTACTGAGTATTATATCATCAACATCCCCCAGGCGCTTAAGATCAACAGTGGGTCGAGGCACACATTTGAAAAGACCCAAATATAAAATTTACAACAATAACAAACATGAATACATATATTGGTATAATGTAATAATGTAAATGAGTTAATTGATCGATTGGGGTTATACTATACAGCTCAAAAGTGGCTGGGCATACAAACCACGGTAATGAAATGTTGCCAATAATAGAAGATATGCGTGAAGAGGGTGTTATACGTTGATTCGCGTATTTATATTTGACAACCTAGATTATATCACACCACTTATAAATAGGCCTCCTTCAACGCGGCATGGTGTTAGGTATGGTGCCGTTGCAAATTTGGACGTCGCGGGTCAAAACATTATAACGTACGCGAAATACCTGCCTTTCTGTTCGAACTAACTAATAACGGTGACTATGATATAGAAGGAAAACTATTGAAAAATGTTGGTGATTCTGTGGACAAAAATGATGCTGTGACTGTGAGAAAAACCATAATTTGTAACCGAAATGGGTAAATTGATGCGACTAGCAGTGTCCAATGTATTAAGTGATTCAGTGAAATACTACGACGTTAAAGTGATGAAAAGTAAACGTGACTTTGACAAAAATTTTAACGAGTTGAGCACCATTTTAAACCTCATCACTTCCATCTAAATAAATTAGATATCGACCAGACAAGATTATTCCATCAGAGCCATAGCCAAGGAGCTACATACGACTGCTCGAAGGAATTTCCACCGTCGCAGAACTATGATAATGGATTTTGCCGACTTGTGGCAAGCTGATTGAGCGAAAATGTAATCTTTCAGTGAAGAGAATGATGATATATATAGATGTATATTAGTAGTCATCGACTGGTACTCTTTCATGTGCTGCAGACCAGTTAAAAAGAAAGCCAATGAAAAACAACTGTCAAGTGGCGTGCAAATTTACCGCTGAATGTTAAAATCCCATAAGAAAATGGACGAGGTAGCACCCAAACCAACACAACTAAACGTAAGGTACAAAATAAAGGATACTTTTCCATAAACTGGTGTTTGGAAGTCCTATATCCCAGAATCTGGAAGTTAACGAAACAACGCCCACACCATATCTCAGCAGAAAGATAAGAAAAATGGCGCTGGACCCGACTGCACATGCAACCCCTAAAAATGTAATGAAAATGCCTTTTTTCTTGTTAAATAAAATCTGTTAAATTTTTGTGTTCTGTTTGTTCTTCTATCCTCTAGCCATGCCATGGTCGACACACAGCTACACGCCTGTAGATGTCTTCATGCCACCGACTGAGCTACCGGAAGCTAATGGTAACCCCCTTTCTGTGATTGTGCAGAAAAGTTGGAATCTTCATTGCATTCCATCTTTTCTGGACTTTTTGCGGAAAGGAAGCGTTACATAAATTGGTAGGAAATCAAATATTCCATACATATTTTTAAAAGAAGGTATCTTGACAGGAAAGCAAATATTCCTATACGGCTAGTACGTTCAGAAATCACAAGGTGGCGCTGGTTACCAATGGGCGGAACCAACTCTACGAGGGACCAACGATATTTTATGAGGAAATTTCTGAGATAGTCGTTAATAATACTATGAGTATCCAAAAGATGTGAACACAATTCTGAATCATTGAGAAAGAAAGATATAACACATGTGAAGTTATACAATCAACAAACTATGAAATTTGCCAAAAGAAAATATTTGAAAATAATTTGGCCTAGGAATAGGCACTCTACAATTAATAAACAGAAATTCAAATTACTGATAAGTGATCAAAATAGTAAAAAAAGTGATTTTGGCAGGTAACAAGTTATGGGCAGGAGCAGTCTTGCTGAAACCAACAGCTATTAACCGTTGCCAAAGGTAAACTATTCAGGGCACTAGACAATTAAAGATAACGTTCTGCAGTTGATGAGTTGTGGTAAATACCTGGACCTAGCATTTTCGTCCCTAGAGTTTGACACCACATATTAAAATCTTACGCAATATGAATGGAGCTGTTAATTTGGCTACTCCTACATTTTTCTCAATTTGCCTAGTTCATATCTCAGAGTTCTCAGCAGCTGCTTGTAAAACACTATTCTGAGTTAAGATTTGTTTTTTCCAAACGTAACAGGCTTTTTGAACGAACCATATTCAATTAAATTTCGAGTCAACCCTAAGAAAATGGTCTTACATGGCTGCCTTCTTTCTGGAAATTTGTCAAGATATATTTCTGCAGTATTTTTTAGTATTTTTGTAGTACAAAATGTAGCACATCAGCATGTTGAACTTTTCTTCATTACTTAAATGACCGCCTGGCAGCTTTGATGATAATAAAGCGATATTAAACTATTATTATTATTATTACATTATATAAATCGATACACAATAATAACAATACTGGGTGACAAGTATTTACGTCAAGTCAAGCATTTGTTTGCAAAGTCTACTTAAAAAAAATAAAAAAAAAACAGTAAAAACGCATTTTTCCTCATAACAAAGAGAATAAATGTAACATGTGATACATACAATTCGTCTAAAGAAAATGCTATTAGATACAAGATGAACCTCTTTTCAGACCATTTATAAACATAATGTTGATGATGGTTCCTCAGAAACGATCTTGTAGTGCCGAAAAAGTGCCAATTTTATTAGTTTTCTGATATTTCTCAAAATAAAGTCAGAAATATATATATATATATATATATATATATATTTGATTTGGTATAATTTTAGTTTTTCCCAAATATCTCAGCCATGAAATTTTTACATGTAATACGCCGCAAGGAGCGCAACTTTTTCCTAATTTATCCTAAGCTGTATCTCCAACAGGTATTGAGATCCCAATGCATAGGATTCGTATTTTGGACACCCTATATACCAGCAAAGGAACTATATGACTGATTTATAATAGAAATACAGTGAAGGTAATAGTACAATTCATACCTAGTTTGAGGAGAGAGCTATTACTGAGCAAGCACCTTCTCAAACGAAGTAAGCATAGAATTTCTTACAACAATAAAACTCAATATCACAAAATATTCGATTCTAAATCACGATCATGACATTTTCAGCTCATTAATACAAATACCTAAAAATATCTAGTTTCCTCATATCGAACTGAACATTCAAATTCATTAAAATGGAATAGGCAGTCGAATCGGTTTAGACTGGTCCGTCCAAGGGGACTATTGTAGGGATGTTTCTTTTTGTTAACATTAAAAGCCAAGCGTTGTGTCTATTACTGGAGTATTCAAAAACGAGAACTACAATTTATTTTGATTTGGAATTGATTGTGCTTTTATAACGTGTACATTCTCATCAAACGGTTAGAGGTCAGTGTAGTGCAAATGGAAGTGATCAAGGTTTTATTTCAATAATTTACCCGATTATGGCGATCGAAACTTTAATCTTTAGGTTTGTTATGGATAAAAAGAACCAACGTTCATTTTTTTTAGTGATAAAATAACTCGTTGAAAGAAATTAAAAATGATTTCTATCCCTATTTTACGCAAATAAAAAACTAAAGCGGAATTTTTTTTCCTGGCACGACCCATATTGCCCTTCAGTGAATATTTTCATGCGCTTCCACCAAATTACAATATCCATTGACGATTTTGCCGTATTGCATAGATTAGATTTCATGTATTTCATTCATACAAAGCTCGTAAAGTATAAAATATAAACTTATACTTACTTTTTAAATATCTGCGAACGTTACAAGAGGTTGGCCAAAAAGATTCTAACTCTACAAAATAAATTTCTTTTCATAAGCCCAAAATTTAAATACATTCAACGAACTGTTTGGTTTTAATTAATTAATGTCTTGTATGAGCCCGAATTTCTAAGTTTATATTTTGGATCCACGGGCATGACAAATATTTTGTGGCAGGCCTATGAAGCTTATAAATATTTGCAGTTATAGGACGAATGAAAAGGCGTTAGATTGATTTGTTTACGTGCGTTGTTACTTAAAATCAGTATATTAGAACTCTTAACAATGATTGTGACTATTTACGGATGTCATGAATCACATCCTATGGACAAAGCAAAATTGCCAGGAAATAGATTTTTTAAAAATATAGTAATTAGATTAGCTCTCAAGTAGTATATATTTTCAATTTTCAACAAATACTGGATTAAAACAACTCACTTTACTCATAATAAAACCGTACGTGACACACATTTTCTCTATTGAAACAACCCTGAGAGGACTGAATCTGAACTGTATGTTGCAAATAAATATTATTATCACTCGTATTAGTATTATTATTATTATTTCCAAGGCGCCTACAACATCCAGCTCCGTTCTCGCCTACCCTACATACCTATATCGTCCTTAGCGAAGAAAACCCCAATTATAACTGTAGCCAGTTCCGGTGCGGAGCTTCCTGCTGCCATGAACGTAGCTCCTGCGACATCCGGCGCCATTTTCAATTCTGGAAAGGATAGTCGTATCTATACAATGTATGTGGGTCGAAAATGTACTGTAGGTAAGAAATGAGGTAGTGGAACTTGTAGTTTGTTTTCTCTGTATATAGGAAACATTTTAAACGATACATTCGGAATTGCGCTATCAACATTTATTTATCAGTTATTTATCTGGGGTAGATTTCTATGTGGAACAATTTACTTCGTTTCCACATACCTGTTTAGCTCACTCACATATTATCAAATGGTACCCAAAAATAGTTTTTAACTATATCTATAATCGACAAATAGATCAGTTATATGATCCGCTAAATTAAATAGAACTTCCAAAACCTATGTTATTTTGTAAGACATGCATGTGTGACGCAATATCATCCAACATTACTATAAACAGAAAAACATATTTTCACAGTAATTGCACAAAAATTTCCTTCCATTTCATTACATTATGAAAAACGTCTTGATTCAAATTGAATTATTAGAGGACATATTTGATGAAGTGCGGTATTTTTCTGTAAAATGGACGATGAGTTGTGCTACAAAATAATATACCTTCGAATGGTTATTTCGGGGATAAATATACTTAATTGGGTATCTTTTCGTAGGAAAGAATCGCTTTGAAAATTGGTATTTTCGAGTATATTAGAATAAGCTTTGGGTCGCTTTACGGCCTAATCGTCGAATCCAGAAACATCACTACATGAGTTTCACTTAGTTGATTAGTTTTAGAACTATTTTTCTTGAAGAATAACTCAGTACGAGGGTATTGTCAAAGCATGGTCAAAATAAAAAATACGTACTATTTTCGAACGAACAACCAACACTGTGTATGAGGCTGTACCATTATTATCTATTAGCGATCATTAACACGGTCCAGATATGTATGCGGTCGAAAGCAGGGAAAAATAAAATAATCTACATCAGAAGAATCCATAATGATCAAAACACTTTTGGACGAATTTTTCCAATATGCCAATGTCAGCAGCAAATATACGAGTTAAAATAAGTATAAAGCGATATTCTCAAGCACAATGTTCGTAAGATTTGGTGTATCGATGAATTCAACACGGTTGTCTGAGGAAACCAGACAATGTCAAGGAAAAAGAGAAAGTGGAAAGAGAAAAAAAGAAGAGCAAAGAATAACACTAGTGTTTAGTTTAAGAGGAAACACCTAGGCTTTTTGACTTGGTACAGGGATTAATTTTGAGGTGAACTAAACAAATTTTGATTCGGTTTTGTTAGTCTGTAATTTTAAATTTACTAATTTTTGATTACAGTGCGAGCGGCTTGACTATAGCGCCGCTGCGCCTCAAGCTTCACATAATCCCTCAAGTAAGCAACCTCAAGGTCTCTGTGTAGTGTCTTTGTTTGAGACACACCATGGAGCGTTGCAAATTGTTCGCAAAGTTCTACTTTGTAGTACTTGAAGACTTTGCATGTGTGCAATTTGGAAGTTTGTTTTCAAGGCTGCTGTATTTTTCTGCCATGTCATCCCTTTATCAAGGGTGACACCGAGGTACATGGCAGAATTTGTCCATGGTACACGATTGCCTTCTACAGGAACCTTTGGTTGGGGGGCGCGACGTATTTGGTACAATAAATAGCCTGCGTTTTCAAATGATTAATTTTAATCAGCCACCGTACCGCGCACTCTAGTATTTCTTCCACCGTACTCTGCAACCTCATATAAAGGGCTACAGAAGAAGGTACATATAAAAAATGCAGATCTGGACCATTCCAACTTAAGGTATATTGGGTGAAATCATATCCAAATGTTCAGAACAATAGGTCGCCTAGGAGTCACCGACTTTTACGAGCTCACTTTGATATTTTTGAAAAAATTACCGACGTTGCGTCGTTGCATCCTACGTTACCATGATTTTTCATGCTTTATAGGTACCATGAAAATGGCGTCAAGTGGGTTGACACTGCACTTCCAACGCAACGATGTTATCAGTTCTTAAAGGATTAAGTTAGAGTGCAATTTAAATCCACTGAGAAAAAAAGTCAGTAACTGACATGAACAACCGAGAAATTAAACAGGTCGAGTCAACCCAACCTCAGCCCAACCAACAAATGTTCGCACAACCTTCGTAGTGTACAGTCGTGTTTTGCTTCTCTTTCGATTTGATTACGATTTCATAGTTATAATTATTTTGAATCTTTGTTGTGAGTCAGGAACAGTTTGTGAGTAGATTCATTGGCTTCGTATGTTGCGCTCATATACTTCAAAACAATTCAATTTTCTTCTGCCGAGCGACCATTTCTGGTACAACATTTTTGTTGACCTTGAACTAGAATCCCCCTTTTTTTGTGTAACACCTGATAAAGAAGTAGTAAAGTAGCTGACTGATAGCTATTGTGGGCTGACTGTAAAATTTCTTTCGTTGTTCTGTGGTCTACTCACGGAGACTCTGAGACGATTCCCTTCATTATTTCTATTCCTTATCCTATCCGTGGTCTACCTCTTTGTGTGTGAGTCTCTATTATTGCCCCAATAGAGTGAAGTACGTCTTCCTGTACCCTCTCCCTTCCTACAACTTGTTAATAATTAACAATGAACCAAGTTTGTGCTACATGTTCCAAATTAATTGGCACTCTCAAGTGCTCCAAGTGCTGAAAAGTCACCACGCTAATTGTGTTGACTTGACCACTAAAGAGATCGACTATTTCGCCGAAAACGGTGACAACAAATGGGTTTCTCCAGCATGCTGTAGACATGGTAGAGTTACTCATAGCAACTGGTCGTCCTCATCAACTAGTGCTCGACCAGCGGACTTCCCTCATTGGTCTGACGAAGCGAGTGCTTCCGATCCTCTAGCACTCATTTTGTGTTAATTGTCGAACATGGCCAATGACATTAAAGACATCAATAACTCACAAACACAACTAAGCAACGATGTCTCCCATTGTATGTCATTGCTACAACAGCATTCGGCTTCTATTGTTCGCCATGACGAACTGATCTCTAATTGTAACGCTAGTATTCAGCAACTCCAAAGTGCGCAAGCATCTATCTTATCCAACATTTCGAACGTTGAATCTAGACTGACCAATGCACTGATAAATGTTAGATCGTTGAATACCAACGCTAATAATATCCCATCATTGTTATTTTTATTATTCATAAATGATCTTTGTGAAAGTATGAATGGTCAACAGTTATGCTTTGCAGATGATATGAAGATATATTCATCAATCAGTGACGTGCAGGATTGCTTAGATTTACAGATCAAGTTAAGTAGTGTTAGGATTTGGTGCGATCTCAATAAATTACATCTAAATATAAGTAAGTGCAGAGTAGTTAGCTATAGCAGAAAGAAAAATGTTTGTGTATTCAACTATAATATCGATGGTGTGGTGCTGGAAAGAAGCGATATAGTCAAAGATTTGGGTGTTATATATGACCATAAATTAACATTTACTACTCATATTTCGCGGAAAGTTTCGGAAGCCTTTAAGTCTTACGGTTTCATTATCAGGAACTGTAAGCGATTTGATAACTTAAGGGCCTTAAAAGTCTTATATTTTACATATGTACGTACAAAACTAGAATATGCGAGTGTTGTATGGAATCCGTATTACCAGACTTATATAAATGATATTGAGAGGGTCCAAAGAAAATTTCTAAAGTTTCTATACTTCAAATCTGAAGGAGTTTACCCTGAGCAAGGCATCAGCAATATGGAACTATGTGAGCGTTTTGAAATTCATAGTTTAGAATGCAGAAGAAAAGTTTCATCTGCCATATTCCTTTTTAAACTGCTAAATAGCATTATTGACTCCCCAGTCATTTTGGCACAGATTAATTTCAATGTTCCTTCGTTCTCTTCACGCAACTATGTAACTTTTAAGCTATCAAGAGCTAGGACCAACTTGTTAGTCAAATCTCCTATATATGTTATGTGTAAACATCTAAATCGTATTAGCTGTCATTGTGATATATTTACTTGTTCGCTTAACTCAGTAGTTAGAATGGCTTATTTATATTTGAAATAACTTCTTTTTTTTTAACACCACTGAATATTATTTAATTGTGCCTATGTAATTGTCCTATAAATGGGGTAACTGTTGGACAATAAACGCTATTATTATTATTATTATTATTATTATTATTATCATCTCCGAATGAAACTTTGGAAATACTTAGACGATCTCACAATATTATCCTGAAAGGTCTTCCTGAAGGCAACAATGATTCTGATTCCGTAACGGTTAATAAAGGTTGGCTTTGCATCGCCTATAATAGCTAAGAATATTCTACGCAAGAAGAATGATATTTTAAGCCACTCTACCTATAACTCCGTTAAAATTTCGGACGACAAAACTCCGTCACAAATGCATGAGCTGCAGCAACTACGTGAGGAGCGGAAACGAAGGCTAACCGCTGGAGAACGCAATATCACGATTAAATATGTCAAGGGTAGACCATCCATTGTCAATATTGTTGCTCAGCAATCTTCTGTATCAAAAAACTGCTAACCGAGTGGTCGGTGTGCTACACAAACATTCAATCACTGGTATCTAAACTTCTCGAAGTGCAAGCATTTGTTGTTGGAACCAAACCTTCGTTTCTTTGCCTGACAGAAACCTGGCTCAGCAAAAATACACCTGACTATGTTGTTAATTTGCCTGGTTACTGTTTTTATAGGGTAGATTTCCCTCGCACGCCGGGGTATTGTGGGGTCTGTGTTTATGTACGTACCGAAATTGCTGACAATTTCACAATAACTACTACTTCCAAGAGCTTCGATGGTATCGACAGTCTCTTTTTGGAACTAACACGGCTAAACTTCAGTTTTGTATTAGCCTGTATCTACAGACCGCTTCCATGTGCTGGTGATGTTTATTTGTGTAAATTCATTGAAGGACTTCTAACCAAGTATTCAAACATTCTGTTAACTGGTGATTTCAACTTACGTGACATCAGCTGGCCCATGACAACATTATCAGAATGCAACTCTCCTTCTGTCCCTTATATTGATTTAATGCATAAGTCGAACACCCTCCAACTCGTAGATCATCCGACGAGATTCAGAGAAGGCCAAACTCCCAGAACTCTCGACCTGATATTTGTCAATGATCCTGACTTTGTTTCCAGTCTAGACTACCTACCTCCTTTTGGCAAGTCGGATCACTGAACTTTATTGACCTCACTTCAATTCTCTGTAAAAACTCCATCACGTAGACACTTCAAAACTGTGAATCTATTAAACTACAGTGCTCTCAATCGAGCATTGTCTGAAATAAACTGGTCCAACCTGCTTGCACAACGTAGCACTGAAGATACTCGTATGTGGAATATGTTCTCTCGTCGAATCCAACTGGCAGTCACTAAGCAAACGAAGATATTCAGTCACCCAAGAAAGCCTTGGATTAACCATAACCTCTCAAAGATATTGAGGCATAAAAAAGCGTTATGGTAAAGATTCCATAGAAGTAGACTACAACAGGAATATGTATCTCATCGATCTTTCTCTAACATCCTTTCCAAGAACTTATGAGCAAAATCTTGTATCATCGAAAGATAAGAAGAAGTTGTTCAGATACTTGAGATCCACCCTGAACTCTAAGGTTTCTTCCCCACAAATCCGTGATCCCAATGGCCACCTACATACTGATGCCGAAAAATCTACCAATCTTCTTGCCGATGCTTTCAGTGAAGATTTTGTGAATGAACCTGATGGTGATGGTACTCTTCCGAACTTATCCAGCCCTCATAGATGCCTAGCGACCATCTGTAACATAACCTCAGGACATTGAGAGCCACCTTACTAAACTGATAACTTGTTCATCCCCTGGAAAGGATGGGATTACTTCTGCCGTTATGAAGTAGGTACTGTGCTTCAGCTCTCGCATACCCGCATTATAATCAACTCCTCGTTTCAAAATCACATCCTTCCTTCCTGTTGGGGTACTGCATCTGTGACACCTATATACAAAAAAGGAGATAAAACATCTGCGAAAAACTACCGTCCTATCAGTCTTGTGCCTATAGCTGCGAAAATAGCCGAAAAGATCGTTCAAGAACAACCTGCTGCCTAGCAACCAACAAGGTTTTATTCCTGGTAGATCAATTATCACCAACCTGTTACAATGCATCGGCAATTGGACCAGATCTTTAGACGCAAGTGAACCGGTCGACGTGGTTTATCTGGATTTTTCCAGAGCTTTCGATCGAGTTCCGCATAAAAGGCTCTTGCACAAGCTTGAACATCTCGGAATCAGGGGAAATTTGTTGTTATGGATTGAAGCTTTTTTCTTAGATAGATCTTTCTTCGTCCGTATTGGAGACGCCTATTCTTCTAGCCATCGTGTGACTAGTGGAGTTAAACAAGGATCTGTGCTAGGGCCAACACTTTTTCTTCTTTATAAAGGGTGTCCCAAAATTAACGCAAGATTTGAATTTGCCGCCATTTGTGCAGTGAAGTGTTGGCAACCCTGAAAAAAAGCAATTTGACAGCTAACAGTATAGGGTTATGAAAAATGGAGCGTTACACGATAGAACAACGTGTCTTCATTATTAAAGAATATTTCAAAAATAGTGAAAGCTTGGCGGCTGCAGTTCGAAAATTTCATACAAAATATGGCCGGAATAGTGTTTTAACTTCGTCAACTGTGAAGAGATTAATTGAAAAATTCATGGAGACTGGATCCGTTGGAGACGCCAAACACACTGGTCGTCCAAAAACAAGCCGTTCAAATGTGAATATCGAAGCAGTGCGTGAGAGTGTTGCGGACAATCCAGGAACCTCAATTCGACGTCGTGGACAAGAATTGCAAATGTCAAGAACCTCTCTACAGCGTATACTCACCAAAGATCTGTGTCTTCATGCTTACAAACTTCAATTAACACAACAATTGAAGCTTAATGACCATGCAGAGAGAAGAGAGTTTGTTGAATGAACATCAACAAATGGACCCTGATTTTTCAAGCAAAATCATCCTAAGCGATGAAGCACATTTTCATCTTGATGGCTTTGTCAATCGCCAAAATTGCCGCATTTGGGGTTCGGAGAACCCACGTGTGATTGTCGAAAAAGAAATGCACCCACAACGCGTGACTGTCTGGTGTGGATTTTGGGCTGGAGGCATAATTGGGCCATATTTTTTTGAAAATGATGCTGGTCAAGCAGTGACTGTTACTGGTGCTCGATATCGCGACATGATTACACAGTTCTTTCTGCCAAAATTGAATGATATTGATGTACCCAATATGTGGTTTCAACAAGACGGTGCCACATGTCATACAGCCCGTGAAACAATTCAATTACTGCACGAGACATTTCCCGGTCGTGTACTCTCTCGTTTCGGTGATCAAAATTGGCCTCCTAGATCGTGTGATTTAACACCATTAGACTTCTTTTTATGGGGTTATTTGAAATCACAAGTCTATGTCAACAAGCCCACAACCACCCGTGCATTAAAGGAGGAGATTCAACGCTGCATCAACGAAATTCAGCCACATTTATGCAGAAGGGTCATGGAAAATTTCGACAAAAGAGTGCGCATGTGCATGCAAAGCCGTGGAGGCCATTTGTCCGATGTGTTATTCCATACATAACCCTATCCTATGTACTTTATGAGTCAATAAAAATATAACTATTAAAAGACTAAAAATGGCATTTTCTATTTAATTCAAATCTTGCGTTAATTTTGGGACACCCTTTACAAGCGACCTTCCCACCCGACTTTCTTCTATGTGTTCCATATATGCAGATGATACTAAAGTCTATAACACTGTCATGAATTGATCTGTGCTTCAAGAAGACCTCAAGCTGATCAGAAATTGGTCAGAACTTTGGCTCCTGCCTTTAAATCTTTCGAAATGCTACTTTCTCCACCTGGGAAAGAATAATCCTAATTTAACATATATGATTAGCAAACATACCTTAGAGACTGTTTTTCTTCGCACAGATCTTGGTCTGACAGTTAATGACCGGCTCACCTGGTCGGAGCACATTCAGAACATTACCTCTAAGGTAAAGCGGTTGCTATATATGATGGAAAGATCATTTAGCGGTTGCACCGTTAGTACCTCCTCCTTCTTGTACACAAATTTCGTACGACCCCTACTGGAGTTTGCTGCTCCGGTATGGGATTCAAACC